CCACCCACCCATCCCACCAGAACCTGGCTGAGTAGCTGCAGCAAGGGGAGATTTCTACCCCTAGAGTGGGATTTGGGAGGAGGGGGCTGAGCCTACATGCAGGGTGCAGGGGGACAGAAAGCACCGATTACAACAGAATGGGGGACCCTACTCTTCCGTGCCTTTACCGAACCTCCTTTCCCAAGCATGGGCCTCTGCTCCTCCCAAGGGGGTCCTGGGCTTCTGCCCCCTCCAGATGTCCATTCTTTCAGCCGTGCTGGTTGGTCATAGTGGGGCAGGTGCCCACATAGGCCAGTGACCCCAACTCCCTGAGGCAGGGCAACAGAGAAGGGCCTGGCAGTTCCGGTTCAGACACTTCCGGGGCTGACCCTCGACAGCCTGAGCAGAGAGCTGGTCTCTCTGAATCCAGAGCCTCTTCCTGAGCCTCACGAGGTCTTGGGGACCTCAGTTCTCTTCAGTAAACATGAACATGGAGAGGCGCCTCTAAATCTCACCCCACAGCAGCTGAGCCGTGTGGTCCCCCAGCACACACATGCGACCACCAGCACCTCCTGTGACACCCCTGCCTGCCTACCTGGCAGTGCCGATGTTCCGATACTGGCATAGCAGCAGGTGCTTGAAGGTCTTTTTAAAAGTGGCATTGCAGAGGGCATAGCAGGCAGGGTTGATGGTGCTGTTGACATAGCAGAGCCAGTAGCCGATGGACCACACTGTTTCAGGGACGCAGCTCTGGCAGAAGGTGTTCACCAGGACCATGACGTTGTAGGGCGTCCAGGTGAGGATGAAGGCCAACAGAATGGCAAAGATGGTCCGTGTCACCTTGCGCTCCCGGGCTGCCATCTGCCGCTTCTTTCGCACCTGGTTGCGGGCAATGCTGGCAAATTTGCGGGCCACGTTGGCTGCTGGACGCATGCCAGCTGGCGTGGCAGGCACGATCTCAATGGCTGTCACACACTCGTTGCCTGTCTGCTTCGTCACAATCTGGATCTTGGACCATTTGGAGGCTGGGTTGGGGGCCCGTGGCTGTAGGGGACGTGCGGGCGTGGCAGGTGTGGTGGCCTCTGTGGTTGACAGCTCTGTGGGTGGTCGTTCCTTGGTGTTCTGGGTGGCACTACCTGAGCTGGACTCATTAGAAGTGTCCTTGTCAGCCATCAGGCGCGGCGGGGGTGGCAGGACCGGCGGGGGTGCCTCTTCTAGCTTCCCGTTGCGCAGCTCCTCTCGAGCAGCTCCTCCTGGTGGGGGTTTCTTGGCGCTTTGCTTCATCAGGGGGCTCCTGAGGAAGGCCAGAGTCTTGGCCTTCTTCTCCTTAGATCCTTCGGGCCGGTGCTTGTGAACTCGGCTGCGACTGGCCAGGGAGATGTGAATGTAGAGCACCGTCATGATGACCACAGGCAAGTAGAAGGCAGCAATGGCTGTGCCAAAGGTCACTGCCGGGTTGGACAGGAACTGGATGAAGCACTGATTGTCCGGCACTGTCCGCTTGCCCACCACAAACTGCCAGAACAAGATGGCAGGCGCCCAGAGCACAAAAGACAGGACCCAGGCGGCAGCAATCATGAGGCCCGCCATCTTGGTGGTGCGCCGGGCTGGGTAGGTGAGGGGCTTGGTGACGCAGAAGTACCGGTCAAAACTGATAATGAGAAGGTTCATGACAGAGGCATTGCTCACCACATAGTCCAGGGCCAGCCACAGGTCACAGACCACGGCGCCAAGAGGCCAGTAGCCCTTGATGATGTACACGGTGTAGAGGTTCATGGAGAAAGCGCCTATGATGAGATCAGCACATGCCAGGCTGAAGAGGAAGTAGTTGTTGACCGTCTGCAGCTGCCTGTTGACCTTGATGGACAGCATCACCAGAATGTTGCCCACGACAGTCACTAGGCTCAGCGAGCCCGTCACTGTGGCGATGAAAACCATCTCCACTGTCTCATAGCGGTTATGGGTTGATGTGACCAGGTGCACAGACTGGTTGCCCGAGCTGCCATTGACTGGTGTGACGTTCGCCATTTTGGATCACAGTGGTGGGTGAGCAGCAATGTCTGGAGGAGGAAGGAGAGAAAAAAGGGGTGAACTGTGGAAGTGGATTAGAAGGGTAGTGCAGAGTAAACTAGAGTCAAGGTGACAGAGGAACATCATCCTACAGAACCTTAGAGAACTGTCTCATCACCTCCTCACAGTGGCCGAGTGACCACTATGTGCAAGCACCAGGTGCTGCAGTGACAGAGGATGAGACACATGGCTCCCACTCTCACGGAGTTTACAATCCAATAAGGGGAGACATACAATCATGTGAGCAACAAAAAACCAAGGCGCGGTGATGGTGCAGTAAATGAATCAGAGGACAGACAGGGATGTCCCTTGCTGGGTGATCAGGGATGACCTCTTCAAGGAGGTGACCTGGATGATGACAAGGAGGCAGGAGAGTGAAGAGCTGCGGAAAGTGGCTTAGTCAAGGGCAAGGACAAGAGCAAAGGCCCTGAGGCATGTGTGAGACAAGGACCGTGGGCCAGTGTGGGTGGGGCCCAGCAAAGCAAGTGGGGAGGGGATGAGTGGTCTCAGGTGTCAGCATGGGTCCCTGGTCAGAAGTGTTCGTTCATTCACCCCCGTGGTCATTTCTTAAGCAAACATTATTTGGGGACCTGCTGCTCTCCAATCCATACAGAAGGTACTAGGGGCAAAGGCAAGAGTATATACTGGGGGTGCCATGTATACATATGACTTATATGCATCTTTTGTTACTGGAATATGTTGAGTATTACAATTTTAATAGTTTTTCCTTTCTTAAAATGTGTATACATTTTTTTGACACCCTCTGTATTAGCAGCTAACATTTATTGTCCTCTCAGTGCCAGGCACATTCTATTTTTTTTTTTTTTACAAATATTAACTCCATCCTCACAACAGACCTATGAGATAGATATTATTTTTCACTACTTACAGATGAGGAAACTGAGGCACAGGGGTGTTAGCATCACCAAGGTACCACAGCTCCTTGGCATCACGTTGCTGTCCCAGAGCTAAGAGTTCTGGCAAAGGGCCGCCCAAACGGTCACAGGAGCCAGTGATCTCAGCTGGGGAAAGGCCTCCCAGAGGACCAGAGGACCAGAGGAGGTGGCATGGAGCTGGGAGCCTTGAGGGTGGGGAGGGGAGTGCCATGCAGAGAGGCTTAGGGAGTTACACACCACTGTGGCCTCCTCTCCCGGAGCCCTCATCCCCACCCCAGGGCACAGGGGTGCAGTGCAGGGTAGCTGGGGTCTATCAGCAGCCAGGGGCTGAGACCCTCAACAATTAAAAGCTTAAAGGGCTCCCCCGCTGAGGAAATACACACAGGGCTTCCCAGAGGCTTGGGCAGTCCCAAGGCCTCTAGGAGAACCCAAAGGGTAACAGAGTGTCCCAGAAGGAAGAGAGGGACTGCTGCAGGGGAGCCTGTGTACTTAGCCCACCAGTATACCAGCTGGGGTCCCCCAAGCACAGGGCCCTCCCCAGAACCTGCAGTCCCTCCCACCCAGGCTCCTCTTCATTTCTCCTCCTGCCCTTCCTCTTCCATACATGTGAGGGAGGCCCACGCCCGGAGTACTGTGCCAGGGCAGCCGCTCGGCCCAGCTCCTTCACACCCGCCAACACGTGCACCATTACACACGCACACACACACTCACACACACACACATACAGCCACACACTCACACGCACACGCACACTCACACGCACACGCACACGCACACACACACACATACACAGTCACACAGTCACATACACACAGTCACACACACACACACTCACACACACACGCACACGCACACTCACATACACACACTCACACGCACACACACACACATACACTCACACACACTCACACTCACACACTCACACGCACACGCACACACACTCACACACACACTCACACACACACTCACACAGTCACACACACACACTCACACGCACACGCACACGCACACACACACTCACACACACACATACACAGTCACACAGTCACATACACACAGTCACACACACACACACTCACACGCACACGCACACTCACATACACACACTCACACGCACACTCACACACGCACACACACACACACATACACTCACACACACACTCACACTCACACTCACACGCACACGCACACACACTCACACACACACTCACACACATACACAGTCACACACACACTCACATACACTCACACGCACACTCACACACACACAGTCACACACACACATTCACACACACACATACACACACACTCACACACACACTCACGCACACACACGCACACACACTCACACACACACTCACACTCACACGCACACTCACACACACACTCACATACACACAGTCACACACGCACACTCACACGCACACACACACGCACACTCACACACGCACACTCACACACACGCGCACACACACTCACACGCACTCACACTCACGCACGCACGCACACTCACACACACACACACATTCACACAAACACACACACACTCACGCACGCACGCACACTCACACACACACACATTCACACAAACACACACACACGCACGCGCACACACACACTCACACGCACACACACTCACACTCACACGCACGCACGCACACACACACACACACACACACACACACACACACACACGGGCCCCGCCATAGCCCCATCATAGCCCTGCAGGGCACTGTCATATACACAGTTCTGTGTGTCTGTGTTGAGAAAAACAGAGAGGGAGAGGCAGCAGGTCTGGAGGGAGGGAGGAGCGCTCACACTGCAGCCCTGGCTCCAAGGCCAGCGGGGGTCCAGCTGTGTGGCCTTAGACAATACACCTCATCTTTCTGCATCTCACTCATTTGTGAAATACAGAGGGCTCATCCTGGGACAACCTCTCATGGAGCACCTAGGGGGATCAGCAACTAAAGTCCACCTCCAGCATGAAAATGTACTGGAGGCTGGAGCCATGTGCCAGGGTGACCCCCCCCCCCAAGCCTGGCCTCAGCCCGTCTAATCCACCATCAAAGACACAGACCCAGCCTCCTGGCCTGGTAGTTCAAATTCGCTTGCCCAGATCCTCCGTTCACTGGAGGAGAGGCTAAGAGAGGGGTGGAGCCACCCCCCAAGGTCACAAATGAGTCAAAGGCAAAGACCAGATACCACCCCCACCCCAGATGTCTGACAGTCCCTTTCAGCTCTGAGAGCCTCTGAAATAACACCTCAGGCGGCACCCTCTGAGCTGGGAGGGCATAAGCAGCCAGCATGGAGAGGCTGCCCTCCTCAGGCACGTGCAGGCAGGCGCAGGGTGGGCAGGAGCGATCTGTCAACCAGCAGAAGGAAACCATCGCTTTAGCCTCTCAGGGCGAGGACACAGGCCAGGGAGATCAGAGAGGGGCTGAAGGTGCCAAATAGGAAAAAACATAATAGCTCTTGTTTATTGAGTGTTAACAATGAGTCACAAGCCCCTCTGAGCTTTTTCTATGGATTATCTGATTTAATCCTTACAGCAGCAGAATGAAAGGACAGGTACTATTAGTATCCTCATTTCACAGATGTAAGGATCTTCTTATAGATGATGATAATGTTAATTAACTTGCCCAAAGTCACCCAGTGTGTAAGTAGGGGTGGGGGCAGGATTAGAACCCAGGAGCAACCTTCTCAACTCCAGGGTGCTACTGCCTCAGAGTTGTTTTCCTGCCCCTGTTCTAAACCCCTTCCAAAACACACAACTTGGGGTGGGTCAGGGGAGGCCTGGGTAGGGTCCCCCGCATTCCCTGCCGGGTCCCACACTTAGCTTTCCCAGAACAGAAGAGATCTGTCATCTCCTATGGAGACATCTGGTCCCCACAGATAACGGGTGGTTTCGTCCCTCTCTGGGACGGCTTGGGGTAGCTGCCAGCTGCAGACAGGGCGAGGCGCAGTGTCTTCACGCCCCACCCCAACTGTCCTTCTGAACCCCTGGGGTCTCCAGCAGACTTTCTGACCTTAACCCCCTCCTGCGCGTTTCTCTGGGATCCAGGCGGGCTTGGGATCGGGGGAGGCGTGCAGCCCCGCCCAGCCCAGAGCTGTGCGCACCGCTAGATGGCAATGTCGGTCCCTGGGTGCCTGCTCCGGACCGGGAGCAGGGGGCCGCTCTTGGCCACCGCCCCCAAGTCCAAGACCGCGAACACTGGGGAGGCCTCAGGCAGGGCCTCCCAGGGGAGGGCGTGGGGCTCCTCGCCAGGCGCCGCCCGGGAGCTGCCCAAGACTCCGCTCGGGGTTCAATGGTGGGAAAGTTAAGGGCGCCCGGATTCCACCCGGCACCCGGCGAGGAACGTGCGGGCGGGAAGACGAGTGCGAGTTCTGTTTATGTGTGAATACTGGGGAACGCGAGTAGAAGCTAGTAGCTGTTTGCATGTGCGTGTGCGCGCGCTCAGCCACGCCTGGATACCAGTGCGCTCCGTGTGCGCGTGAGCATGCCCGTGCCATGTGGACACGTGCATGTGCATGCGTGTGCCTGTGTCTGTGCGTTTGTGTCACGAGTAAATGCAGGACCGACAGTAAGTGACCCGCCACATTCAAACGCCTCTGCCTGGAGACTCAATCCAGACCTTGGTTGTCTGAGGGCGGAGAAAGTCGCACCAAGAGCCGGAGTCTGGATCGCGCCCCCACCTGTGGGTGGGGAAGGGTCCCGGGGAAGGACGACAAATCCAGACAACCCTGTGCTCTGCGAGGGCCTCCTGAGCTTGGGGCATCGTGTTAGCCGAGTACTCAGTGGTGTCTTGTCCCCAACGCCTCGGTGCGTAGTCCCAACCTCGGATTGACCTCTGTGGAGAGGCCGCTGCGCGTTTCCCCACACGGCCTTGCAGGACGTCAGGCTCGGCTCAGCAAGCCCACTACGTGTAATCGTCCAAAGGCTCCGGCGAGAGGGTGCAAGCAGCACCCCCGGAGGCCCAGCCGAAGCTTGGGTTAGGGGAGTGCAAGAGTCTTTTCTTCCCACACTTCTAACCCTGACTCCACTGGAGAAGCACCGTCTGGCCTCAAGCGGCTCGAGTGGGCATCCAGTTCCTCAAATCCAGGGACTGGGCGAGTCTTGAAGGCCGGGTTGGGAGTTATTACTGGGCTCATCTGGAGGCTCCTCCACTGTCTCTCTAGTGCCCCGCCCTCCCCCAACCCCTTAGCACGCAGTTCCTGCAGCCGCTGGGCGTGGGCACCGTGCTGTGCTGGGTCCTCGAGCTCCCCTCCACCCCTTTCCGGGACCAAAAGGGAGCGCGTGCATTGGACGCCGTGGGGGGTGGGGTGGGCTCTTAGGCTTTCACTCTCCAGCTCCCGGAAGGCTGTGAAACCGGGATGTGTTTCTGGGGCGGGAGAGGAGACGCAGGAGTTAAGGAGAAGGAGAAGGGGCGCCGGGGATTTGGCACCGACATTGCGCCTGACACTTGAACCACGGGGCTCGGGGTTTAGCGCTGGATCTCCGCAACTCTGAGCCTGGGCAACAGCCGTAGCGGGGAGTCCTGAATGGGGGAGGGGCGCTAGGGGAGGGCAAGGGTGCTTTCCGTCGGGGTTCAAGGTCGCTGATGGAGGACTCCATGGTCAGGAGCCCGCTGGCAGTGCCGCGGGGCAGGCAGACGGGCGGGAAAAAGGCTCTTTGGGGCTCCAGCGCCCGGCGCCCAGCAGAGCTGCCAGTTGGAGGGCTGGAGTGCGGCGTCCCGCCCCCGACGGCTGCCCCTGGCTCCTTGGGGGTGTGGGTGGGCACGCCCTACCGACCTCCTGAATGTCCATTCTTTCCCAGAGGCGTACCTGGAGGAGCCTCCGACAGACACAGGGCCTTTCTTCGAGCGGGGCCCTCTGCATCTACCAGCACCGCGTTCGCCCCCGAAAAAGCCTGGGACCCGGTCCCAGTCGGACCCGTCTCTGAGGAGCCCCAGAGTGTCCGGGAGCCCTGAGTCCTCCCCCAACCGAGTCCTCCGCCCCCGCGCCGCCGCAGAATCACTTACCAGACACCTCCGCCCCGTTCCCCTCGCACCTGACAGACGGCGGGATAGGAGGGCGGCCCCGCGGGCCAGCGGGCGGGGCAGGCAGCCGGGCCGCGGGCCGGGGGCGGGGACGGGGTGCCGAGGGGCGGCCCCTGCTCCGCCCGCAGCTCCCGGCGCTGTGGCTTCGACTCGCGCTCACGCTCGCACTTTTCCCCGAGCCGCGTGATGTCACGGGGAAGCAGCCAATCCTGGTGGGGCCGCACCGCCCGCCTCGGGCCGGCCACCCAACGAGGACGCGCGGGGGGCCACCTGGGGCTTCGGGGACCCCAGCTACGCGCTCCCCTCACTGGGACCCGCCGGCTGCTCCCCTCTCGGGCACTGTGGGGGCACCACCCACGGTCGAAAGTGTTGCTTAGCTGGGGGCTCTGTCCTCCCAGAGGCTGGGGGGTGGGGTGGGGTGTTGCGTTGTCATGGGGACGCGGCGCCCCCTCGCGGGCTGGGGAGAGAGCTGGCAGCCCCGTCAGGCTGCGCTCCCCGCCTCCGCTCTGACCAGGCGCTGGGACCAGGAGGTTGTCTCGCACCCCGCCGGGACCTCACTCCCTATACGGCCCCGCGCACAGCTGGACCGCGGAGGCGCGTGTTTGACACCAATAGGAGGTTATGGGTGGGTGGGGTCGGCTCTGCAGCCACGGTTCCGTTCGGCCCGAGGAGCCGAGGGCCGGCAATTTCCAGCCTCGGGGCTGCGTGTCGGTCGCCGGGCAGTCAGAGAAGAGGGGCGCCGCCGTCGGGGCTTGGGAAGGAGCTGGAGCGAGAAGACCAGCGACGGTCCGCCAGGGAGAGGAGCCCGCCCATCGCACACAACCCCCGCCTGCCCTCAAACCCCGCCGCCCAGCTCCCTGTTCCCGCACTCTGTGCAGGGGTGCTCTCTAGCCCCGGGGTGGGATGCGCAGCCGAGGCCTGAAGGGCGAGTTCATTGATTCCTGTGAGGGAAAGTCGTGTCCAAGGTCACCTGGGGTGGAGCCCAGAACGAGACCCCAGAGGGCGAGCCGCCGATCTCTCGAGGTCTCCGGGAACCGCACGGGCCGGAGCCTCGGGACTTGGAGCCTTGCCTAGGCTGGGCGGGAGGGCCTAGGGGTCCGCGACTGGGGCGCGGAGAGACCGAGAGCAGGGCAGCTTCAGCACCTCGGAGAGCTCCGCCTCATCCCTGACCTTGCAGGCTCCGCTCCTCGCTACCGGGCACTCGTGCCTCTGCCTCCCTCTGAGACTGCCGTTTCTGGAGCCCGCCAGGGTTGGATTCGCCCCACACACCCGGGTCCTGAGGCCCGTCTCCCCATATTCTCTGAGCGCAAACACCCGATTAACCATAAGACGACTGGTTCCTTTCTTGGAAAAACAATTCAAATCCGTCTTTCCTTCACCCTCACCCAAAGGCTGGACGGAGGGGCGGGGTGGGGGGCGGGGAGGCTGTACGTGAGGTGTGGGGGCGACGGTGGCGGGTACGCAGTGGAGAGCACGGTAGGAGCTGCCAGAAGAGGTGCGGGAACGCAGGCAAGAGCCAGCGTTGCGGGGCTCTTGGTGTGGAATTCTCCAAGCTGAACGCGGAGGTGGAGGTCGGGTCCTCCGTGCTCCGAGGGCGAGGGCTGGAGTTGGCTGGCTGGGCTCTAGAGTGAGAAGCCATTGTCTTCGCCCCCACTTCACAGATGAAGAATCAGGCTCAGTTGGTTCATATGACAATTAGATGACAGTCCTGCAAGATGTGTGTGTGCACCAACTGGATGGGGAGAGGCCAGATACAAGTCTGACGGGGAGACAAACAAGGCCAAGGACAGGAGGCCACAGAAACCAGAAATGTCTCCAACCACTGCCTTGAGTTCTTCCAGAAGCTGTCAGGCAAAGCTGCCGCAGTTTTTCTGAAATCCCTATTATGGGGTGGGGCCTGTGGCCTCCCTCAATCCCAGAACCCACAGTGGAACTGTGGGGAGCTAAGTTGAGAACCAGAGATCTGGATTTAGTCTTTGTTCGCTGCCTTCATTCCAACTGGGTCCACAGACAACTTGGGCCCATAGAACTTCTCTGGATCTACTTCATCTCCAAATGGGATTGCCAAGCTGTCCTGCTGACCCCACACCTTGTTATGACATGCAACGGGCCCTGCGAAGGTCTTACTGCTGGGGGTGGGAGAGGGGTGTCTCTATCCACCAGGCAAGGGCTTTCGAAGGAAAAGGGGTTGTTGTGGAGAATGGAGGTGTTAACAGGGTCCTCCGATAGGGCTGAGTTCATTCTTGGCCACAGAGGGCAAAGGGGAGGCCTGGCATGGCCAAATCTGGGTCACCTCATCCACAAGGCCGGATACCCTCTTTTCCAAAATAACAGAGCAAGTCAGGGTCCCATCTGGGTTCAAACTGTGGCTCCACTAGTTGTGTGGTCTGGGGGTAATACCAGTACCCACTTCAGAGGGTTTCTGTGACGGGGATTAAGAGGTGATACACACTGAGTCCTTGGAACAGGATTTACACTCAACAAATTCATAGGCTAGTCCCCACCAAGGAATTCTCCCTTGATTGCAGTGGGGTGCCCTTCTCCTCCCATCCTTCGATGCACAGCTCAAGTTCCACCTCAAGGAAGGCTGCTGCCCGACCATTTCCATGCTCTCTGAGCTCGAATGACTTGAGATTACAGAGATGGAAGTAACTTTAAGAGGTTGCACAGTACAAGCCCTGCATCCTACTACAAGGTAGGCAAGTGAAGCAGGAAAAGGCTAAGTGGCTTGCCCTAGGTCACACAGCTAGCTGATGTGTCTTTTAGTCTAGAGTCCACTGTTAATATTATCATTTTCTAGAAAAGTTTAGTGTAGACTCTATAATTCTGCAAGTCCCATAGTGTCTGGGACAAAGTTGGGCACACAAAAGAAACTCAAGTACTCATTGTTAGCAAAAGCCCTTCTCCCAATTTCTAACTGGCTTGAAACTTGAAGTGGCCGAGGCCCATGAGTAGGCCCTTCAATCACTGTACTGAGGACACAAAGTAAAGGGAGACCTGAGCAGCCAGCAAGCGGTCTTTGGGGGATGACTGCAGACAAGACCAAGCTCCCTGCTTGGCCAGCCCAGACACCCATTACGGGTGGTTTCCCAGGACTGGAGGGATCCAGCCTTTTGCCAGTTACACCTTCACTCCACGCCCACAGTCCTGGGTGGGACGCAATCAAGGTGAGTGACCTTCTGTCATTCCTACCTGTCACTAATTAGGTTGCCCCATCCTTAGCAGGGCCCCGGGGAAGCAGGAAGTGGTGGTGTACATGGAGACATGGTATGAAGCAGAGGCGCAGCCCTCACCTGAGTGGCTCTGCTGAGGCATCAGTTAGGGCTCCCCACTTCGGACAGCAGTCCCAGAAACAGTGCCCGGGAGAACTTGGACCCATTTCTGTCAGTTCAATGACACCCGCCCACCTGCCCCCGCCCCCTCCTTCATCCTCCATAGAAACAGAGAGAAGCCTGCTGAGGGGCATGTCAGCATTTTAATGATGCAGATCTTTGGTGTTTCCCTCATTAGCAGTCAGACTATCCCCTCGCCTCCCACCACAATGTTTCTATGATGAGTTACAAACAGAAAAGAAATCACATTTTCATACTAAAAACAAAATAATCAGAGCCTTGATTTCTCCACTAGAAACTACACGTACAGTTCAAGATTCCACATGCAACACCTTAAATCACAGACCAAGACCTCACATTCTGACCTGGAGTCTCATCCCCTCCCCCAGCCTTGGGCTGGCTTTGGCCTAGGCTCAGGTAATACTGACACCCACAGGTGCTGCACTGAGGGCCTGGGGAATGGGGAGGGCGGAGCTTGGTGGACAGGCCCTGGGGGCTGGCCAGCCTACACCCCCCACTCCTGAGTGAGGACCTGCCCACCATCCTTGACCCCATTCTGTATCAGGCAAGCAGGCTGCCCCCTTCACTCCATGGTTGTCCCCCAGTAGCAAGTGGAGGAAGTCCCTGTCCTCAGGAATCGGGAAGCCTGGCCTGATCCCTGACAGTGGTCTCTATGGGGCAAGATGACAAAAGAGGCTGAAGCTCTGGAAGGCTCAGAAACAGAGATGGTTTCTGGGGGCCAGGCCACTCCTCCTGCTCTTGGGCTCCCAGTGGCTCTGCCCACCCAGAAGGTGGACATGGCAGAGCTGCCCATTGGCTACTGTCCAGGATGGTGTGGCCCAGATCTGGAAGACTGTTCACCCCTCTGGGGCTCTCTGCCCAGGGCTGAGTTCCTTGAGCCCTATTTCTAGGAGAAAGGGGGGTTCATGGCAGGGATACCCACTTCCTCCTCCTTTCACACACAGCACAGTAGTGTGGCTCTCCTGGGCTCCAGATCCTGGAAGGTTCTAGTCCCCTGAGGCAAGCCTTGCCCATCTGACTGCCTCATGCCCGCTGACTGACTTCCTCTCGACCCCCCGCCCTCTTGCTCCTGTTCCGATGCAGTCCGCAGCTCTTCCGTGTGTCCAGTTCCCAGTCAGCTGTGAGGTCCGATCTCTGCTCAGCGGTTCGAGGGGAAGCACCAGTGCACACGCTTGTCTCTACCTGTTCCGTGGCTCCTCACTGGGGCCTGCAGCTTCCCCCCTGCCGCTGCTGCCACCACCGTCAGGCAGGTGGTTGTTATTGGTCAGGTTGCAGTGCAGGGTTGGTCCCTCAGGGCTGGGAAGGGGCACAGGAGTGGGGACAGGGGAGGAAGAGGGCAGGGCTGGCTGCGGGGCCTCCTGCCCAGGAGTACCAGGCTGGTCCCAGGAGGCTGTCCGGGGGCTTAGGCCTCGCTCTGCCAGTTGCCCAGGTTCCGGGAGCAGTCCCCGAGACGTGGAGGGCTGGGGCGAGGAGGTGCGGGCGGCACTGGGCTCAGCGCCCGTCTGGGAGCTGCGGTGAATGCGGTGACTGACGATGATATTGTTGCCAAAGCCGCCCATGGAAGCCATGGTGGTGCTCTGCTCCCTCTGCACCACCGCAGTCATGCCCCCTTCTGCCATCAGCCGCTGGATCCTGCTAAGGGCGTCCTCCCCACCTGCGCCATATTCTGAGCCCTCACCTGGAAGGTACAAAGCAGGAGAGAGAAGGAATTAGTTGATGGCCTGGTCCTCTGAGCCAGGTAGGCAACTGCTGGCAGGAGCTGGGGGATTCCAGGATAAAAACAGAAACAAG